GAAAGGGCTAAGAGGAATCAAGATGTAAAGAATTTTCATCCTATTTTCACAGGTTTTTAATTGCTCACCAAGACAGTATGTATAGTAAGATTGGTGTTTGTGTTTATCATGAATATGTACCCAATCACCTAGGATCTGCATCTCCATAATGCCTGATCACTTGCACCGTGTTTGTGCTGGTCAGAGAGACCCATCCTGTTCTTTTGTGATGAGCCTACTCATGATATGTGGAAGCTGTATGATACAGTTGTTAATTGTGATGAGATCACATCTAAAATCCATATCTAGACTTGAAACCTGGAGATGTAGCTATGGGAATAGGGATATTGTCTTGTGACTTCTAGTTTCTGGAAGGGCACAGCAATAGATATTTGAACATATAGAGACTCCTAGGTTTGAGTGACAAGAAGAGTTTGCACAGCCTATGAGACATATTTCCTTTCTGGAGCTGGAAGACAAAGGAGGGAGTTTACTTTTGCTTTCCCAAGTGAAATAGATCTGCTGATTTACTTGATACTCTATTGCCTCACTAGTCCCTAATGATGTTTAGACACTATGTGCTCAGCCAAATTCCTGTTTAAAATATCTTTTAAATTAGATCCAATTTATCTTTACCAAATGAAAAAATTTATGTTGTGTTCCAGGAGGTTCTTCTTTGCCAGTGCTTCTATTGTTCATTGAGAAGACCCCATGTTTGCCACTTTTCAAAGAAGGAGCTGATCCTAACAATTTTTCCTTCTTGGAAATCAATGTGCTGCCAACTTCATGTTCACCAGCAACAATTTTTCCATTCAGCAGGTTTACCAGCCATGCTTTCAATCTATCTTCAGCATTATTCTCTAGTTCATTCTGGGATTGCTCTGTAACTTATGTGGAGATGGTGTTGGGGCTTGTTAACTGGCCATATTTCTTGTTTCTGTGGTTAGTTCTACCCTTTTGGAGACAAGAATCACACTGGTGTGACAGTAGGACAGTCTTTTATGACTAGAGCTAACCCGGTGTCTTGTAGGTTTGAGAGTTATGGATGGTTGTTTTCCTATTTAGCTCTCTTTTCTTTGCTTGGAGAGGGATATTGTGGCTTCTGGGTTGAGATTATATGTTATTGTAACTTTTGAGACAATCTGGGTTTAGCTGATAAGTATTTTGCTCAGAGTTAACATGTACTCAAAGTAATCAAATGGAACCAATTTTGTAGTCAAATATAAAATCAGCTATAATTTGGAACAGATATAAACCTTTAGGGATCAATGGGCAGGAGCAGATGAAGAACTGAAGGGTTAGGATTGGAGAAATATGAATTTAAGTTCAGGAGAGAATTTGTATATAATGATAGTAGAGGGGTAAGAACAGCTTAGGGGAGGGGTATATGTGGTAGGAGGAGAATAATGACCTTATTACCAAGTGTAAGAGGTAGAAAAGAATTTTAAGAAAGATTGTGTAGGGAGTAGCTTAGAGATCTAAATGAAGATAAGAAAAAGAAGTTACATATAAGTGTATTTAAGAGACTTGCTGAGATTAGAAAAAGATTACTCAGATATTATTGGAAAGTTGCTTAATCTAAGTTAACTCCTGTATGTAGAAGGAAGCCTTACTTTGTGTATAGAACTAGACAGAGTAGCACTGATGGAGTAATAGTATAATGTAGAGAGAGAAGAGAAGGAGAGAGTGAGAGAAACAGAAAGAAGAAAAAAATCCTTGCAAATCCCAAATCATGAAATACATAAGTAACACTTAGAAATGAAAAACAACAACAAATGATCAGACATAAAAACTATGAAAACAAAATAAAAACAACAATAAAAAAACTAAAGAATGTTTTTTTCTGGTTCTTTGGGGGACTTTTAGACTCCCCATAGTCCTCAGAGAAAATTCCTGATGGTGCCTTTCATGCCTTGTGGTAGTCCATTTTCCTTGTGGCTTGGTTGGGAGAAGATGGACTTTTGATGGGGGAGGATGCCTGCTATCTAGAGTTCCAATCTCAGGGAGTTTGAGGGGTTTCAGGATTGTAGACTGCTATCATAGGCCTGTGTTGTGTTCCCAGGCTTTCCAAGGTAGCCACAGGGACATTAGGAACAGACCTTATGTCCATGTTCTGTTCTGGTGTGATCCCTCCCTTTGTGAAGAGGGTTTGGGCCAGAGCGATTTGGGATCCTGCAGGGAATTGCCACCACAGTCAAAGCAAACTCCATGAAAACAGAATAGAAGAAACCCTAGTGCTCCTTGGAACAGGCCAAAATTTTCTTAGTAGAGACTCAGAAGCAAACAAATCAAAGAAATGTTGGACAGATGGGTTTGCATGAAACTGAAGAGACTCTGTAAGGCAAAGGACATAGCTAGCAAGATTAATAGAAAGCCCACAGACTGGGAGAAGATCTTCACCAACCATGTAAGAGGCAAGGGTCTCATATCTAAAATATGTTTAGAACTCAAAAAACTAAATCCCCCAACAACAAATCCTCAAGGAAACAACTGCCCAATTGGGCTAAAGATACAGAGAGACTTCTCTGAAGAGGAAATAAGAATGGACAATAGACACATGAAGAAATGCTCAACTTCTCTAGCCATAAAAGAAATGCAAATTTCTGGGGTGAGATTCCACCTCACCCCAGTTAGAATAGCTATAATCAAGAAATCTAGTAACAACAGATGCTGGAGGGGATGTGGCCAAAAGGGAACCTACTGCATTGTTGGTGGGAGTGTAAACTTGTTCAAGCACTGTGGAAAGCAGTATGGAGGTTCCTCACAAGACTCCACATAAAGCTCCCTTATGACCAAGCAATCCCATTTTGGGGCATTTACCCAAAGGATCATAAACAACACCATACTAAAGCTACCAGCACAACCATGTTTATTGCAGCATTATTTATCATAGCTAAAATATGCCCTTCAGTAAATGAATGGATCAAGAAAATGTGATACACACACACACACACACATACACACACACACACACACACACACGAATTCTATTCCTCCCTCAGAAAGAATGACATTGCCTCACTTGTTAGGAAATGGAAAGACTTGGAGAAAATTATATTAAGTGAAGTAAGCCAGGTCCAAAGAAAAAAAGGTCGTATGGTTTTCCTTGTTTGCAATGACTAGAACATGTCTAGGAAAAGCAGAGAAGTTCAAAGGCTATGTACATATGACCAAATGAGATAATAGTAAGCAAAATGTACCCCAAGACAGGGATACAAGTGGTTTTTTTTTTCTTGCTTGCTAGTGTTCTTAATGTACTTACAATGCACTATGTGATTCTTTTGTTTCTTTTGTATGTTCTTCCCCCTTAGTATAACCCCTGTCCTCACAGGATTTGATGCCAGTGTTCTGCACCTTGTATATACATTTTTGAAGTTTGAGGGGAAGGGATATAGGGGAACACTTAAATGGGGATCCAGGCTGACCCATTGTGACAATGAGATGTATGGGACATTATGTTGAAAACAAACTTTACAATGTCCAGGATGGGAGGAATTAGGGAGATGGGGAGGGAAGTGATGGTAGGGGAAAAACAAAGGAGGAGGTAACAATGTACTCATTACCCTACTCATGTAACTGTAACCCCTCTGCAAAATATTATATGTATATATATAACATATATACATATATATATACATATATATGTACATATGTGTGCATATCTATATCTATATCTATATCTATAAAACTCCCCCAACAACAAATCCTCAAAGAAACAACTGTGCCATTAAGAAGTGGGATAAAGACTTCAAGACAGACTTCTCTGAAGAGGAAATAAGAATGTCCAATAAACATATGAGGAAATGCTCAATTTCTGTAGACATAAAAGAAATGTAAATCAAAACAACATTGAGAGTCCACCTCACCCCAGTTAGAATGGCTATAATCAAGAAATCTAATAACAACAGATACTGGAGAGGATGTGGACAAAAGGTAATACAACTGCATTGTTGGTGGGAGGGTAAACTCTGGAAAGCAGTATGGAGATTGTACACAGATCTCCTATGACCCAGCAATCCCACTTTTAGGCACTTACCCAAATGACCACAACAAGGCCCATTCTAAAGCTACCAGCTCAACTATGTTTATCAAACCATTATTCTCCATAGACAAGACATGGTAACAATCCAGATTCCCCTCTGTGAATGAATGGATCAAGAACATGTGAGATATATATATATATATATGTATATATATATATATATAAGAATTCTATGCCAGCATCAGAAAGAATGACACTGCCCCACTTGTTAGAAAATGGAAAGACTTGGAAAAAATTTAGAAGGGGACGGGAAATAACAAAATGCTGAAACAGAGTACAAGTTGACCCATTGTAACAACGATATGTACAAGATATTATGTTAAAAATGAACTTTATAACTTGGAAGGGGGGAAGAAGTTTGGGAGGTGGGGTGGAAAGGGATGGTAGGAGGAAAACAAAGAAGTGGATAACAATTCTCGATAGGAAATGTAGTTATTACCTTTCTCATGTAACTGTTAACCTTTTGTACAGTATCTTTTCTATATATATATACATATAGTTGTGTAAATATATATAAAGAATACCATTTAAAAAATTATTAAAATGTTAATATAACAAAGAGAAAAGAAGAAGAGGTGAATATTATTAACATATGTTATAAGTACAAATGGAAATGTCACAATGTAAACTTTCATAGATACTTAAATGCACAATTGCGGAAAAATTAGAAAGATGAACTTGTTCACAAAATTAATTCATTAAGAACATCACCATAAATTGTCATGCTCATTTTAGAGAACATAACAAACAGTATACAGGAAAATGAACAATTATGTGCTTTATATTAATAGCAATTGGAATGTCAATCCTGACTGATGATACATTTTTTTACATTAAGTATTTTATTGTATGCCATTGCCAGTTAACTTTGTGAAATAGAAATTCATGAAAATTCAGAGAGGTAGATGTTAAGGACTGACATTGAGTAAAAGTTGGTATTTTATGGCACGTGAGTTACAGAGAAGGTTCTGTACAGGCTTCAACTTTCTTTTGAATATTCACTGGTTCATAGGAAATAGTCTGGAGATCCTTTGAAAGATTTACTGACTACAAAAAGAAGCAGACTTTCTGGGGTCTGAAGGGATTTGTACTTGAAGACACTCCAGTCAGCAGTGGATCATGTTGAGCATTCTGCAGACAGAATTGTTTCAAGTCTTCAGCTGCCTGAGAAACCTTCATACGGTAGAGCCTGGCCTCCATCCAGAGCTGCTGAACCACCTTCTTCTTCGCGGCGACACTGGAGGACTCAGACATGGTGCACAGGAGCCGAGGCTGACACGTCGGAGTGTGGGGCAGTGGGTGGAGTAGCTGCTGGGCCAGACCTGATGATGCATTTCTAATGTATCATATGGTTAACACAGAACTTTTAAATAAATGAGAAAAGAATGATTTACAGTATTTATCTAAATCTATTAGAGACAATTATTACTGTCTGGAATATTTAAAGTAACAGAAACTATATTTTGCCAGAAATGCATGTACCACTAACAATTACGGAAACAATTGTGAATTATGCCTTCAAATTCAAATGCTTTTTAATAAATATTTGTGTCAACATGATGAGAAGGCATATGGGTGGAATTGATTAGAGATGATAATTCTATTATTTCTGAAACTTTAGTGACTTACTGAATAATAAAGGCACAGTAATTTTTAACCAGGTAGTTTTATAGACTGGCCAATATAAAGACTGAGGTATTATCCAAACCTGTAAGACAAGTTATTGTGCACTAGTTAAAAATACAAATAATAAATAGCAACATTAGCTATATCTCTTCACAAACTAGATACATTATTTGCCCACTTAGGGGGAAAAACCTGTCAAGAATTAGGGAAGAAAGGGTATTGTGGTGGCACTGCAGAAATCCAAAGCAGTAGGGCTTCAAGTTCAAGGCCACTTTGGGCCATTCCCAAACAACCTTGTGCTACAAAGAGACATCTTCTTTCATACACTGTGTAATTTCTTTAAAAAAGAATGAATAGACTAGACTTAGGGGCGTAACTCTCTGTGTGTACAGATTTTGTCCATTATGCAGGTCATGTGTTCAATCCTGACCATCAAAAAGAGATCAAGCAAAAATTCAAAAAATATTCTAGCACACAGAAATTTTTGTAAGTCATATGCAAAGCCATGTGTGAAGTCAGATGTGAAGCCTTGAAAATATAAAATTTCAGAAAACATATAGATCATTATGAAATGAGACCAAATAACACAATTGGTCCTTATGCTAGTTCATTATGTAAATATGTACTACTTACCCTTCAAAAACACATCTTCACCACTCAGTGTACAAACATATAGGTCCTACCATTGTCTGAGCATTTGTGTTGCATATTTTTTATATTAAAATCCACCCTTCCACCCTTGTCTGATGCCAGTGACTCATGCCTATAATACTAGCTACTCAGGAGAATTGTGTTCAAACCCAGTAAGGTAGAGAAGTCCATGAAATTCTTATCTCTGATTGACCACAAAAAACTGGATGTGGAACTCTGACTTAATTGCTAGAACACTAACCTTGAGCATAAATGCTGAGGGACAATGACCAAGCCCAGAGTTTAAGACCCAGAACCTGAAAAACAAACAAATCAATAAATAATATACTAACCCATAACATGAAGTGCAAGATGGTAATGGCTCACAAGCTACCTGGGAGGCAGTGATCTCAAGATCAGCTTTTTAAGCCAGCCTGGGTAGGAAAGTAGTGAGGCTTTTATCTCCCATTAATGGGCACAAAGCTAGAAACAAATCTGTGACTCAAGGTGTAGCTAGCCTTGAGCAAAGCCCCAAGTTCAAGCTCCACTACTGGCACAAAAACAAGCAAACAAGTAAAATTATTAGGAAGTGTGTATACTAAGAGGTGATTAAATCATTAGAATCCTCATGAATGGGATTTGTGCTCTGACATAAAAAGATCTAGAAAAATCCTTAATCACTCTCCAGATGTCACCAGCACTCTACTATCTATAATACAGAAAGCAAGTCTTCACCATGCATCCTCTGTCACACTGATAATAGTCTCCTAAAGTGCAGTAAAGAAACTGTTTTTCTTTATAATCCACATGTCTATTTTGTTATAACAGTCCAAATAAAGTGAGATAGAGCCATTGATTTGGAGAAGAATAAATTATCAGACAAATGTGGTTATTGATGTATATCTAGGATATACAGATGAAATATATTCTATGCTTATATATAAAACATATCCTATGATTATTTATATATATATATATGCTGTATACACCTATAGGTACACACATATATATACACAAACATATATATATATATGTATACATAGATGTATACTTACCTATATAAAATACTTATTTCCTTAAGAGAATTGAAGAAACTTAGAAAAAGATTTATACTCCTGTCTTGTACTTTAAACTATCTATTTTATATTGTACTATATATTTAGTGAATATCATATATTCACTTATTTCCACAAACTAAAAAAAATGTACATTGACTTCTTTACTAGTCTCTGTAGCCGCTTTTCATCTAAAGAGTTCCTAGGCATTTTCCCATTATAGCCAACATTTAGTACACCTGAGATCACTTCTTTTATAGGCTCATTTTATGTGATTGTTTCTTCAGTGTTACATGCCTAATAAGTATTTCTGTCAGGAATACAATAGTGGTGGAGAAAAAAATAATCAACAATTTCTTAATATATCATTGTCAACGTCTAGTGCATTGGGGTCCCTGGGTAAGGGTCACGAAATCACCAGGACACAGGGGATGCAGCGTGCAAACAGCAATTGCCACTGCATGCTGTGCTTTATTGTGAGCGGGTATTTAAAGACAAGCAAGCATAATCTTTGCCAAGATTCGGTCAGAAAACATTCATACGAAAAATTTCAACAGATACATTTTTACTTAACCTATGAGACAATGTCTAGGTATATTATTATCTAAACTATTTTAGAGCAAGCTCAAACCACTTCTCCAATCTCAGGAAAATGCTTGACCAGTTGTTCATCTACGCTTAAGCAAGAAGAAGAGCTACTTTCTCAGCTCCCAGGAGTCTGTGACCTGTGTTTTGTGATAGGGAGAGAGAACATTTTTCCTCTCTAGCCTGGCATTCAAAGAGCTTTCCTAATCCCAAACACAGTCCTCAGATAATCCTGAGGCTGAAGCCTACATCATTCTGCCCCCTCAACATAGACCCTGAGTCTTCACATATCATAATGTAAATTAATCCTGTATAAAATTCAGAAAATTTTGCAACATTTCCTCCTTAAAAGAAATTATTTTAGTATTATTTTATTGTTGAAGTTAAGCCACGACAAATTGAAACCACAACAAACTTTTGCTGTCCCAGGCTCCACTGTCATCTGCTTCATTACCAAGGCCTTGTCTTCACATTCTATGCACATTCAAGTATGAAAGGCCAATGTCATCTTAAAACTAGTTATCCGAAGAAACATTCTACCCAAACTCACTCTATTAGTGGTAGATCATCCATAAATATAACAAAGATAAAGCTTCTAAGCGTTCCATAGTATCTGTTACAGAACCAAGGGGTAGGGCAGATAATTTCTCACTCACTATATGACTTCAGCACTATCCCAATACCAGACAACCCAAAGATATGTTATCAACAGAAGATTTCAGTCTATTAAGCCATTAACGTAAGTACAAACAGTTCCAACAAGTATAAGCACAATTCAGCAGTATTTATAACAAATGACATATACAACTCAATGCAATTCATCCCAGATATATAAATCTGGTTGAATAGCTAAAAAATAGTACATCATTCCAACAATCTAGGAAAAAGCACATGATCATGCCACATGATCAGAAAACTACAAGGTAAAATCCCACTTTATTTATGATACCAAAGAAAATAAACTTTCCAGCAACTAGGAAAAATGAAAACTAGGATAAAAATATCTACATAGGCCTGGGAAGGTGACTCAGTGCAAGAATGCCTGCTTTGAATACAAGGCCCTGGGTTTGATTCCTCAGCACCACATAAACAGAAAAAGCATGACGTGGTACTGTAGCTCAAATGATAGAGACTAGCCTTGAGCTGAGGAACTGAGGAACCGTGTCCAGGCCTAGAGTTCAGGCTCCATGACTGACAAAAGAAAGAATATGTACATGTACACTACAGTAACTAATAAGAAGTCACTCAAGAATATCTACAAATACACTACAGTAACTAACAGTATACTTAACACTGAGAAACTAGGATCAGGGCAGGGATATTATCTTTCACCATTCCTTTTACATTTCAGGGGGGATGTCTCTATGCAGTGAAAAATATGGATTAATGGATAAATGAAAGCATATTCACTCTGAAAGAAACAATAATGTCCTACTTGGATAAGTAAATGGCAGTATGAATGTCGATGCAGAAAGTATACAAGAATAAAAAATTCTAGCAATACCAGGTGATTATATTTCAAAAGGGTAGACTACTAATACACCAAAGTAAATCATTTTTCCAATGCTATAATTGAATGAATGAATTTGAAACAAATGGTATAGTGTAAATGGTACTAATATCATATATGGTGTGAATATAAATGGTTATAACTTGTGTTAGAATCATGCCAAAAAATGGAGTTACATAAAACTAACAAATACATAGTCTATTTGGAAACATACAAAAATCTAATATAATACACTGAAATTAACCTGAGCAAGGATATTTTATATTTATGAGTAACAAGACTGAGTATTCCCAAAATGTAGACTCTCTTGCCAAGTTTATCTTCAGATCTAATGATATTTCAATAAGAAGCCTAGTAAGACATTTTTATGAGTGTAAACATTAGTCTAAGCAATCATGATGATTAAGAAATATCATAGCTGGGTGCTGCTTGCTCATGCCTGTAATCCTAGCTACTCAGGAGACTGAGATCTGAGAATTGTGGTTCAAAGCCAGACGAGGCAGGAACCTCTGTGAGACTCTTATCTCCAATAAAGCACTCAGAAACCAGACGTGGCACAGTGGCTAAAGTAGAGCACTAGCCTTGAGCTACAGAGCTGAGGGACTGCGTTCAGGCCCAGTGTTCAAGCCCCAAGACTGACAAAAAAGGAAAAAGAAAAAAAATATCATTCAGTATCTTTAGAATTCTGAAGGAAAATATTAGAAGACTGATACTACTTACTTTGTGAATTAAAGGTGTAATTATCAAGGCAGCATGTTAATGGAAGAAGTAGAGAACAATGCATTCAAGGAGTAGAAACATTGTCAACCTACCTTTCCAGAAAGAGCAAAGAAAATTTCAAATAGAGT